GTGCAACTGAAATTATTGCAAGAAGGTTTCCAAATACTCCCAGTACGGAAAATGTTACTGCGAAGAATATTAAAACTGCAAACTTTTCGGGGGATTGTTCAACATAAGGAGGGTATATCCATTGGAAACTTTGATCAGATGCATTCGTTGCATTTACTCCGACTAAGGGCACTAGATGAAACTCCATTCCTCCCTCTTGTTAGTTTTTTGTGTTGCTAACACAGCTCTGTGACTTATTATCACTAGGCTTTGAGTAGGTTGGTCAGACATTTCTCACTTTATATGTCTTGCAGGTTTCCAAGTTACCAATTCACAAAAGGTGCAATATAAAGCTATACTAGTTTTATATAATTATGTATTGCTACAGTATGAGCAACTCGTTTACCGATAAATTAATGCAAAAACAGTTTTATTATATTGATAGGCGGGATGAACCATTATACATTTCTCAGATGTGACAATAAAATCAAATGTATGTCTACCATAAGCCTAGTAGTTATTACGTCCAGTAAAAGAGCATACTTGGTTCAAAAGAATTTCCGGTTTTGTCGGTTATAATTTTCCATCTTTTTGCAACAATCTAACATCCAAATGGTCAGACTCTTTAAGTTGTCACTCTCACCTTTCCAATGATGTATTTGAACCTCTGGACAAATATGGTCATTCTTTTTGCATCAAGGAGCGCACTTTGAGTCTCTACCTACCTTTATTATAGTCTGTTTCCTCCATTCAGGAATAATGCATTTTGTCACACGATTTGTGAATTTGTGAGAGCATGTACTGATTGTGATGCACACCCGTGAGAGTATGCACTGATTGTGATACAAACCCGTGAGAGTATGTACTGATTAGGACGTATACTCGTGAGAGTATGTAGTGATTAGGATGCATACACCCGTGAGAGCATTTACCATTGTGTACTAATAATTAGAATACACAGTCGTGAGAGCATGTACTGATTGTAATACCCACCCGTGAGAGCATCCATTGATTACTATGTACACTTGTGAGAGCATATATTGATTACTACAGGCCCGTAGCCAGGATTTGCCAAGGGGGGTTCGATTTTCAAAAATTTCCAGGGGGGGGTTCACATTTGACAATTTTGGCCCAAATTAGGCTAAAATCACTTGAGAAGTGCTCAAAATGGTCAAAAACTGCATGATTTTGAAAGAATTTTTGGCCAGGGGGGGTTCGCCCGAACCCTGCGAACCCCCCCTGGCTACGGGCCTGTACTATGTACCTTCATGAGAGTATGTAGTGATTAGAATACACAGCCGGTGACAGCATGTACTGATTGTGATGCACACACGTGAAAGCATATATTTATTACTTTGTACACTCAGGAGAGTATGCACTTATTGAGATGCACTCTCGTCAGAGCATGTACTGACTGTGATCCACACCACTGATTAAGATGCACACTTGAGAAAGTAAAAACATGCAAGGTACTACTGACATACTGATCAGTAACTTAGCATTCATTAGAAATGTACTAAGCAAATATTTCATTCTATGGAGGGCAATACCTGTTCATCTTTCAATGATTTTTGCGGTATGTATTGCCCGCAGCCCGTAGGGCGAGGGAAATACATGATGCAAAAATCATTGAAAGTGCAACAGGTATTGCCCGAACATAGAATGAAATATTTGTTTTATTATATCATTGCTAGACATTCCCTGTGATCAATTAATCAATTAATATATCATTAATCCATAAGTGAACATAATTACGTACAAGTATCATTGAATGGTACACTTTATTTTCGTCCAGTGTAGTTGTCAGAATTCCCGGGCGGGCAATACGTCGGGCAATACGTCTTTTATTATCCTAAAATTGAGGGAGCTGTGAAATACGTTATGATACGACGTCAGATACTGTACATCACGGCGTAACAGTGTAATTGTTCATTTGACCGACAAAATGCAAAGATTTACGCGATAAATATGCGCAATGCTCCTCCAAGTAATTGCAAACGTTTTAATATTCTTGGAATCTTCTTGAAAACTTCAAGTTTTGTTCAGATTAATGTGCGCTTCAATACAATTCTATATTCAAAAAGGTTGTGTCACGATATACAGAATTAGAATCACCAGAAAGTAGACATTTCAAACCCTACCCGTTTTCTTCTTTGTCGCGCTTTTCGGCCCTGCGCTCTCGTTGTCGCACCGTCTTTCTAGACTCTTTCACAATACCCCTTGTCATATTCAACTGATAAACACAGACGGGAAGATATTAAGGATTGTTAAATGCATTATTTGTAATTTATTTTAACTCGAATATTTAGTTTTATTTATTTAAAGCAATGAATAATAAAGGAGAACATATAATACGCTAACGGCGTAACGTCTTATTTTGTAAAGGCTTCACTTGGGGTTGCGGTGATAAAACGATGTCTATCTCAATATATACTGGTTTAAATTTAATGAAATTAATTATATGTAGTAAGGGGTATATTTAAAAGAACATGCTGAAACATTGGAAAGTTTTGAATGTTTATCCCTTAATTAGAAATACTTGAACTCAAAAAATGAAACGTAATTTTGTGAATTTTTCACATGGCTTCACTTCATATTTCTTTCAATTTATACTTCTTACAGACTGAATTTTAATCGAAATGATATAGTTTTTTGATAAAAATATAGAATATGGTATGCCTTTCGGGAATCAAAAAAGAATATTTCACCTTTCAAGCGATTTAATGTTTAATTGATCAGAATATATATCTTGTTGGTACGAAATTCTGCCTGTCGACACTTTTTTTGCATAAATATAAGCGTTAAGTTAGCATTGTTATATTATGACGTCATCACACAGAATCTGTTTGTCTTTTCCAAAATGGTGATTTTAAATATTGTGAAAATTTGAGAAAGATCCGTTGGGAAATGAAAAAGTTATCTTCATTTTTCGTTTAAAATTAAAATCACTTTTCTTCAAAATGTTACAGTCGACACCCGGTTTTAGCATAGAAAGTCGCATAGTACGGCTTGCGTGATTCTCATTTAAAAAGTCCCAAATCAGTTATTTGGAATTCTGATAGGCAAAATATTTCATGGACATACGTGTCCAACTGATGACGAAAAATTGTAGAAAAATATGATTTTGCTGTCGAGATATTGCGGTTTTAAAAGTAAGTACGCATGTAAAAATGCAGTAAAATGCCGCGATGTACAGTATCTGACGTCGTATCTATGGTATTTTTGATCACATGGTACTGACTCGACCTATCAAATCACACAATTTCTAGCAATGATATAATAATATTAGATATTTAAATATATCCCCTTCAATTTACTGTACAAGTGTAAAGTCCAATGTCCTGTATGAACCCATATTCTTACTTTTGAAAATGGATTCTACCATTACTATCCCATGTGAATTTACCTTTTTTTGACGCGATCAACTTGAGTTCTTCTGAGTAAAAATGGGGATTTAAGCGAGGGTACATTGGCTCAACATGGGAACATGCACCATTGACCATTGACTTAGCGTGGCGGTACCATCCGGTATGTCACCATGTAAAGTCAACCCACCCTTGCTGAAATCCTCGTTATCAGAACTCAATTTGATGGAATCCCAACAAGTAGATTCCTGTTAGATACTATTGCTAGAATTCATTTTCGAAAGTTAGAATAGGGGTTCTTAAACAGGACACTAAAGCTTAACTAAGGCCTTTTTGAAATTTGTGTTTGTAGTAATATTAGGTTAATTGTGCGAGTTGTACTGATAATACGATTCAAACGGGTAAGATTCTGCACTGTACGGATGCACATTTTCACATTTTAACACAAGATCTACGGATTTTAACAAGGATACATTTTTACGATTTTTCAAATAGCAATATTTTTAGAATTATAATATTGTAACAACAGGGGGTCACACTCGCCTAGTCGGAATTTTAATCTACTTTTTACTGACACCTAGCCGTCACACTGATCTCAATAATAACATATATTATAATTTGAATTAAAATATATATATTATGTAACCAACTATAAGTATGAAATATGTACAATGAGTTTTTACAATGGCGCCAAGGTCTTTCAGATGGTTTATCAAAGAAGATACTGTTAATACCTAACAAAACAGTTTTCAATCTTATTACCATTCTGACCTTTTATAGATAATACACACAGCTAACTACATATAGATGCTCCACAAACACGCCACCTTTTGGCAAATGTTCAAAGTAGTAAAAGTACACAAATGGCTATGAATGTCTATTATATCCTCAACTAAAACATTGCAAAATTGGTATGCTACCTTAAGCTGGTAATATTCACTGCACAAAATGAGACATAATTCTGAATATATCTGGTTGGGATCAACGATAGCAACTAAGAAATGATGTAGATTCTCAAAGTTTGCAAAATTAGGTCACTTGAATTAGCCGTCTATTTCTGTTCAAAACTAACTTCCTTACCCTATTTAACTTGATTTATCTTGTCCTTGGCAATTTACTGTTAGCATAATCATATCTCATCCTAAATTAGGACATTAAGTCCTCCATTTATAGACGATTTAATCAGCATGATAAAATAAATTGAAATACAATGAATTGAAATAAAAATATTTACATTAACAGATATATGGAATAATCAAACTGGGCATGAAATATGAAAAGTAACAACCCAGGGTTGTAGGTCCAAATATTGTTAGCTGTCACCTTCTACTCGACACCCATGACTTTTGTAATGACAATTACAAGAAAAATAGAGAGGTTCAACGTTTTATTACCAAGGTACACGTTTCAAGAATTGAAACTGCAAAGACTATTGTAAATTAATTAATCATTAAAAAATGAATAAGAGGCCCAGATGTGGTCCAATCATGCTAACGCACAGCACTCGTGGTTTAAGGTTTTAGAGCATAACATCATCGCGGACTAAAGCTAAATCTACTTTAATATACAATATTATAGTAAAGCTCAATGTGCAACAACAAATAACTATAGTGTTAAACATTACACTATATAAAAGACACATGAATGCATTGTTTACGGTATTTAGTACTGAGAGTGCATCCGATAGACCTATTATATGATTTCAAATTATATTTAACAATTAATCTCAAGTATGGTTTTCTGAGATTCTAATGGGCTACAAAGGATATAAAAAGCATATGCTACTACGGTGTTCTTTCTAGCTACTATTAAGTGTCAATATTTGACCTGGACGGGGCACTTCCTCGTTAAATTAAATGTAAATAAAAGATGTTCATAAAACACACTTTGGAGTAATTAACCTTTTCTTAAACTCACAGAGTCACTTATGGTCTGTACTTGTATGTAATTTGAAAAGAAAACGCAAGGGTCTGTACATGCGTTCATCATTTTCGACTTTGACCAGGAAACATCCTTATGCGTAACCCCATGAGTACTAAATTAAGCTCCTCATAGTTGGCAACGAAGAAACGGTTATTATAAGTAGTCCGATATTTTTATTGAATCTTATTTGTGATCGTGTTTTAGATCTTTTGCACTTACACTGTTTATACATTTTCAACTGCAGCGTACATCTGTCTCTTCTTGCAACAGAAAATCAAACGTATAGCGTTCTTATAGCCTCTCCTAAAATACTTGCTGATAATGACGTAACACAAACAATCTAATCCCGACTGCATGTGACCGAGTAGATTAGCAAACGCCCAAAAATCTCTCCCGTAATTCATAATATGATGTGACACCAGGGCAACGATGAAAGGTAACCATATCAACGATGCGATGAAAATGGCCGTAAGCAACCGTCCAGTCAAGGCTATATCATCAATTTCTTGTCGAAGCTCTTTTGTTATGTCTCCCTTTTTATCTTTTGTTTTGATATCACCCACCGTAACATTCATCAATGAAATATTTGGAGCTATCGCTGCCAACTGAAAAACACATAATTGCATTTGCTGTATTCGACTTATTATACAAAGGTCGGTAGGGATATAGTGAGGCCCTTCGTCGGTCCGTTCGTCCGTCCAGAAGATAACTCGAGTACTTGTGGACGGATTTGTTTCATATTTGGTTGAAAGATGTATATTGGTGGATAGTTTTAAGCAAAACATTTTCTTCAATGATGCTGCCGCTTATAGAAATGGCGGGAATATTTGGCAAAAATCTTAAGTTTTTCATTTTAAACCAATGTAATGAATATTATTGTTTGAAATTTTGGGAGTATATTCACAACATTTGTATTATTGCCAAAGGTATTTTCTAGGATGCTTAATCATTGAATCTATTAAACTTATAATTTATTCAGTGTTAGGTCCTAGACTGTAAATTGTTCAGACTGTTATACATAGTGATACTAGTATTCCAGGAAATTGAATAAATATTATTAAAATGAAATTATACTTGAATCTGAGTTATATAGCAACACCTTTACAACAAAGCAACTAATAAAATAAACAAGAAGTGTTGTATTATAATAAGTGAATTAGATAAATTGTTTTACATAATGTACTTTCATGTATCGTTACTAAGACTGCAAAGTTTCTACAAAATATATGAAACTCGGGTAGAGTTATGGTTGCTATAGTAACGTGACATCACAATACCCGGGGCAACATTCCACGCAAAAAGTTACAGAGACATTAAGCATTTTGTACATGCCATATCATTTTGTACATGCCATATCAAAGTTGAAATGCAACAATTTGTGGGAATTACATTTGTTTTACATCATTTGATATTCCTATTTATCCCACGATTAATGTGTTATCTGTACAATAACAGCTATTGATATTTCTGATATTATTGAAATCCGTGTGATATTTTCCAGAAAATCGTTTATTAAACTCATATGCGTGTGATATCGTTTATCTCACGCATATCCGTGTGATATCACATTTGCATTTCGCGCCACAATATTGTTGGAAACTAGGTCAGATAATTTATTCTCTTGTTATACTTTATTATATTTTATTATTGAAATGTGATTGTTATCATGGGATAAACCCAATATCACATAATTTTCTCGTGATATCATTTTATCACCTCGTAGATATCAAATATCAACACTCATTCGCTTCGCTCACTCGTGTTGATATTTGATATCAACTCGGCGATAAAAATGATATCACTCAAAATGATGTGATATTCTGTATGTATCGTCTACTTTGAAAAATAAGCTCCTCTTTGGTGAGTTCAACACATGAGTGAACCCATTTGAGGACATGTCACGCAGGGCCGATTCGACAATTTGGAGAAGGTCATTCTCATCTAGGTCTTACAGCACTGATTAGCATTCCGTTCTCAATATAAGTAAAAATTAGACATTGCATGATCAGAGGAGTATGGTGCATGGTTTTAGACCTCAAGACCTAGCTCCTCTATAGCTGCATAGTCTTAAATGGTGACCTGTGGGCAGGCGCACTATCAAGGTAGATGACTGGCTTCAATCTGAGTCTTTTCAAAAACTCAACCGTGAATTGTTCAGACTGTTATACATAGTGATATTCCAAGAAATTGAATAAATATTACTATCATTATGAAATTATACTTGAATCTGAGTTGTATTATATAGCAATACCTTTACAACAAAGGAACTAATAAAATAAACAAGAAATGTTGTATTATAATAGGTGAATTAGATACTTTCTTCAGTAATATAAAAATATTAGATATCACATTTTCACAGAAAAGTTGCCCCGGGTATTGTGATGTCATGTTTCTATAGTAACCATAACTCTAACCGCCTTTTTTTCAGAAACTTTACAATTTTAGTTGCAATACTTTAAAGTACAATTTGTGAAAATTTAAAGATACTCAGTGCAAAATTGACAAAATGCCACCACCAGTCCTGTTACTTTTGGAACGCCCTGTATAATATTTGATTGCTAGTGATAGCCTATTTAGCAAGATGTTAACATTATTTACAGATCTTCCGTACACCATATCATGGGCATTAAAATCAAGATTTACATTAAATAATTTCTCTAAATTCTCTTTAATAGCTTTCAAAAAATCTGAACCCGTCTACATTCCCAAAACGTGTGCTTTAAGGTGTTTCTTAGTGGACAATAACTACATTTAGCATCCTGTTTAATTCCTATCTGCGTTAAGTAAGCATTTGTGGTACAAATACCATGAAGAATCTTAAATTGGAGTTGTCGAATTTTATTTTGTTTCGTGCAATTATAAGCCATTTTAAAGTAGTCTGTTCTTTTTAACTCACGATTATGTTCATCTTTATACAATGGTTCCAAATATTTGTTTCTATTTATTTTTTTGTATTGACTTAACTGTTAAACCATTCAATGACACTGGTTTTCCGCCAAGTGTGAAATGAACAAGATCCGTCTGTAGGCGCGGTTCAAAGACAGAAGTTAAAGAGAGAATCAGATATAGCGAACAGGCTAAACAAAAAATTGTTTCAATTTTAGAATATTTTTGGCTCATGTCATTCCTTGTCATGTCTATTTTCTAAAAAAATCACAAAAGTGCACACTTTATTCGAGGAAAACTAAAGAATTTTACAATGATTTATTATTTTTCTATAAGAATGGTTACCATTCTTATTATTTGGGAGTATTTAAACATTTTTCACCCATTTTTGGACCTTGAATCATTAATAACTTCACCAATTTATAACATATTGTGAATCTTTTGGGAGATATTGTTTTTGATATTGTAAGGAAAAGATTGGTAGGTCAATTATACAAGTTGCTTGTAATTTTGTCACCCCCTATAGATCTGATTCTGCCTTTAAGTCTCGCTTCAATAAACGTTTCCACTCCTTCGGTACAGCTGATCTGAATGTTAGATATTACATTTTCATGAAAAGTTGCCCCGGGTATTGTGATGTCACGTTACTATAGTAACCATAACCCTATCAACATTTCATCATTTTTCTGAAACTTTACAATTTTAATTGCCATAAGACACTCGGTGAAAAATTGACAAAATGCCAGCACCAGTCCTGTTACTTTTGGAACACCCTGTATGCATGTATCTCCCTTGTGAAATGTATATACTAGAGGTGTCAAGTATTAACCGGTTAACCGGTTAACCGCCGATAATGCCTTGACCAGTCTGAGTTTTTATGGGCGGTTAGTTGACCGTGTATAATTCTGTTATTTCCCGCGCTTATTTTGCATGCTAGTCCGATTGGTTTTATGGTGTCAGTTTCACGTAAGCTACTCATACATGTCATAAGTCCCATAACTCCTTACAAACATCCAATCAGCAACTTTAATCCCTGCCACATTGCTTTCCCGCGCTTACTTTGCATTTTAATCTGTTTGTTTTTCAAGCGTCAGTTTCATGTGAGCTACTCATACATGTGATAGGTCCGATAATTCCTTACAAACATCCAATCAGCAACTTTAATCCCTGCCACATTCCTTTCCCGCGCTTACTTACATAGAATAACGTAAAGCTTGACGAACGTAAAAAATAAACGCCGATATATCATTTTCAAATTTTTTTCAACTTTCAAGATCGGAGATGAAGATTTCATTTGAAATTATCAGTTCAAATTTCCCGCCGGTTAACCGACTTTAACCGGTAAAAACCCCCGGTTAACCGGTTAATGCTCAAGCGGTTAATTGACACCACTAGTATATACCCAGCTGCTAAATGGAATGGACAAGTGTTATAAAACAAAGCACAAAATTAACCACGCCTAACAACTGTAGCAGTAAAACTAGGTTCAAAATTGAAAAAATGTGTCTTTCCAATTTATATTAAAATAATTCACTTGAACCCCAAAACAACTTTTCCAATAGTAAAGTAAAATGTATTAACGCATATTGCAGTGAAAATGTAGCAGAAACCTACGGAAAGCAATAGGGGGACCTGCGCATAATTCAAAATTGAATGGAGTTTTAACATGGGAGTGATATCACACACCGCGGCCCAGTCAGATAGATTTCATCGCGCGCTGAATGAATTACAGGGGCCGCGTTGTGCAAAGTTAATTAAAATAAAGTGCGCAGAAATTAATTCAGTGCGCGATGAAAAAATGATTATCTGTGAATAAATAACTAATAAAAATTCAAATTTAATTTTTTCGAAAGACTGCGGAGTGAACCAGCGAAATGACAATTTTGAATAATATTGATGGCTCTAATACGGAAAGCGAAAGGGGATATACCGCAGAATTTAAAATTCAATGGAGTTTTAACATGGGAGTGATATCACACACCTCGGCCCAGTCAGATAGATTTCTGCGCACTTTATTTATCTAATTCACTTTGCACACACACCCCCTGTAATTTATTCAGTGTGCGATTAAAAATTGGTTATGAGTGTTATCGCACACCGCGGCCCAGTCAGATCGATTTCTGTGCACTTTATTTATTTAGCCAGAATATTAACACACTCAAAATATCGCGCTGAAGCTTGTTTATGCTGGCGCGGTGGAAATATAGTTTTCTGTTAATAAATACCCAACAAGAAAGGGTAGCACAACGAATTCAACTTTTTTTGAAAGACTGCAGACTTGACCCGCGAAATTGTAATTTTGGATCACAGTGATGCCTCTAGAGAGAATATCTATGAGAATTACAGATTATAGTGCGTAGAATTATAAAGTCAAACTGACCTCAAAATGGTAGTACACAGTGCGTGCTAGAATCGGGAAATCTCAAAGTTCTCCTCGTTAGAGCCATCAATATTATCCAAAATTGTCATTTCGCTGGTTCACTCCGCAGTCTTTCGAAAAAAATCAAATTCGTGGTGCCACGAATATTTATTCGTTATTTATTCACAGATAATCATTTTTTTATCGCGCACTGAATGAATTTCTGCGCACTTTATCTTAATTAACTTTGCACAACGCGGCCCCTGTAATTCATTCAGTGCGCGATGAAATCTATCTGACTGGGCCGTGGTGTGTGATATCAATCCTATGTTAAAACTCCATTCGATTTTGAATTATGCGCAGGTCCCCTATCGCTTTCTGTACTCTAACGAGGAGAACTTTGAGATTTCCCGATTCTAGCGCGCAGCACATCCAGGACCATGATGCGCACTTTTATCAGATTCGATTATAATATGGTTTCAAAGATAATGTTCATTAAAAGAGGGCATATGCATACAGATTACACGTGATGTAGTTCAATACAGTACAATACAATGTAGTTCATTGCAATACAATGCAGTGCAATACAATGTGGTACAGTGCAATACAATGCAGTGCAATACAATACATCGCAGTTCAATACAGTACAATACAATACAATGCAGTGCACTGCAATGCGGTGCAATGCAATATGGTGCAGTGCAATATATTGCAGTGCAATACAATACAATGCAGTGTAAAACAATGCAGTGTAACACAATGTGGTGCAGTGCAATACAATAAAATGCAGTGCAATACAATACAATGCAGCGCAATACAATGCAGCGCAATACAATGTAGTACACTGCAGTACAATACAATACAGTGCAATAAAGTACAATGCAGTGCAATATAATATAATACAATGCAATACAGTACAATATACGGCAATTAAATACAATGCAGTGCAATACAATACAATGCAGTGCAATACAATAAAATGCAGTACAATACAATACAATGATGCGATATACAATACAATACAATGCAATGTAATACAATTCAGTGCTATGAATGTACACCTTCTACAGTCAAATAAACACAGATATAATTGATTTTAAATTGTAATAGTATGTTAGTGTATGGAGTTTGAAGTGGGTGGGGACTTGGGGATACAATTACCAGTCTGCTGATTGATGACTTAATAACTTAGAAAATATCTCCTAGCTTTTAACAGGTGGCACTTATGTCTACCTTACGTTCTTAAACAATCTCGTCTAAGAATACAGGCCCGTATCCTGGATTAATCTGGGGGAGTGGTTTTATCAAGGGGGAGATTTTGCCAAGAGAGGGGGTTTTTGGCCAAAAGATCATGCGAAAAGTGCTAAGAATGGTGAAAAACTGCATGATTTTGAACGAATATTTGGCAAGGGGGAGGGGGGTGAGGCCCCCTGGCTACGGTCCTGGAATACATATCGGAACTTTCCTTCTCCCAGAAGAAATGGTATACGGGTATTACATCAATCATTCTGGTATTTTGTATACGAAGGTGTGTAGAACACACTTTAATTTATTGAAAGATGGCAGTGTACACTGTGTACTACCATTTTGAGGTCAGTATGACTTTATAATTCTGCGCACTGTAATCTATAATTCTCATAGATATCCTCTCTAGAGGCATCACTGTGATCCAAAATTACAATTTCGCGGGTCAAGTCTGCAGTCTTTCGAAAAAAGTTGAATTCGTTGTGCTACCCTTTCTTGTTGGGTATTTATTAACAGAAAACTATATTTCCATCGCGCCAGCATATACAAGCTTCAGCGCGATATTTTGAGTGTGTTAATATTCTGGCTAAATAAATAAAGTGCGCAGAAATCGATCTGACTGGGCCGCGGTGTGCAATATCACTCATAACCAATTTTTAATCCCGCACTGAATGAATTACAGGGGGCGCGTTGTGCAAAGTGAATTAAATAAGTAAAGTGCGCAGAAATCTATCTGACTGGGCCGCGGTGTGTGATATCACTCCCATGTTAAAACTCCATTGAATTTTAAATTCTGCGGTATATCCCCTTTCACTTTCCGTAGAAACCGACCATGTATTTATGATCAAACTAACTGTACCTGCCGTCTTTTTGCTTTAATCCTGAGATGTGCTACGATGATAGACACAAAAGAGAGACTGACCGACACACACAGTACAGCAGCAACGAACATACTGGATGGCACTTTATCAAAGTCGAACAAACATATCATGCTCTCTGGGTCAAACTCCATCCCACCCCAACTTAAGAACATTGGTAGCAAAGTGAGTGAGGCTATACACCAAGGTATAAAAGCAAAAATTGGTGCAGTTCTCCAAGTAAAAATGCGCTTGTATTGCTTTGGATAGCAAACTAATACAATCCTGGAAACAAGAGAACCTAATTTAGTAATGGCCTCATTAAGATAAAGTATTTGCTAAAATAGGCCTTGTATCAAAATAGAAGCCTATGCTCCAAGAAAAATGTCAACATTTTACATAAACATTTTGCGACATTTTTATTTTTGAGTACAACGTTGTTAGGGTAACAGCTAAGTTAATCAAAAGTACAAAAATGGAGCCATAATTTTCTGAAAAAATATTTTGTATCTGTTTTCCTTAGATGTGGATGCATTTCCTGACTTAAATACATGTTAAAGAAAACATCACATTTAAACGCATTTTTCATTACTATGAAATGGAGGTGCATGGGTCCCCAAAGCTAGCATGAATGCGGCTAATTTTTGAAAGTTTCAAGGAGTAGTGCACCAGTCACACATTTGCGAGAATCCAAGATTTCCACAAACCATCTTACCAAACCAAGGAATATCGAAGAACTACTTCTAGACTTCCTGATTAATCCTTATACAGGTTTTGTGACTTCACCAAGTGGTATCGATTATCACTAGTATACTGTATCTAGTATCTTATTTATTGCAGTATAATTATCATATATACACCTGGTTTAGGCTTTATAAATGATAAACAATGGATACACGAATGAGGATTACTCTGGACTGAAAAAAATTCCCAGCAAACAAAATGAGGAACATGGAATATTTAGAATCCAAAATGGTTTGAGCTTTATTATACTTTAACAATCCATTCAAGTACATTTTCATGCTCCTTACAAATGTGACACCAAAGCACCCGTACTCCTTGAAATTTTCAAAAATTAACCTCACTTCACAGTTTTCATGTCAACTTAAGGAATTTATACACCCACAATTTATATAGGGTGTCCAAAAAACAGGACCGTAAGAAAGTTGAATAACTCGAATGATTTTGCATATTTTGCCTTGAAATTTTAGAATTATTTAGTTCATTCAATGTGAATTTTGTTCTAAAAGTCTCTTGATAATCTGTTTATTGTGTCAAAAAATACAGTACCTAAAGCTACGTTCACACCAACAGCGCTTTGATGGCGCTTTAAAGCGGATTGTAAAGCGGCACCAAAGCGTAACAAAGCTTGATTAAAGCGTCGGGGTCGTAATAGGTCGTAGAAAAGCTTGGAGTAAATCGGGATATTCGGTAAAAGCGCCTAACATTTTTAAAGCTACGTTCACACAAACAACGAATGCAACGCTTTAAATCGGCGAGCAATGCGCCGTCATTTTTGTTTACTTTTCCTAAAATATCACGATTTCCTATTGTAATGTTACGCTCTGATAAGCTCTGATACGCTCTGATTTCCCGACTTGTTACGGTTCCTCACGCTATGATCCCGCTTCGACCAGTTTTTGTTACGCTTAAAATCACGCTTTGATAAGCTTTGGTAAGCATTATTACGCTTTGATGCGATTATGACGCTTTAAAGAGATGTTAATGAGACTTCTCCGTGGCATTTTTTCTTTATTCCTTTTTGTTTTGAATTGTTTACACCATAACATTAACTAACTACTCAATACGCAACTTTTCACCACGTAGAATTTTAAAATATTAAGTTTGAAAATTCCATTTTTATAATGAAGCTCAATGGGAAAAATGACATAATTTGGATTATTTTCAAACGTAGCGACGCGATTTTCTTGAAATTGACAGATATAATGAATATTGGTAAGACAAAATGTTTGAAGAAAAATGAAGAAAATTCACAGTCCTGGTTACGCAAAATATAGAAAAACGTGAAATAATCATAAAAACCTGTAAAATAGATTGAAGGGGGTGATATTCATTTTTAATGTGCCTTTCACTACTACAATGTAACCATAGTTTTGGTAATGGTTTACTAATTTTAAATGCATATCTTCTAGCATGTGTATCAAGCGAAAGTAATACAATAAGTGAGTTATCATTAATTGGAATGGTATTATTATATTCAAGCAATGATGACAAAAAGGTAAAATCAATCATATCACATACTAGTTCTTACCATCAACTCGATCTGTTAATTATAGGATATCCTATGATTTTGAGGAATATTATTTTTATCTACGAGGTGATATTGATATCTGCACGAGAGAGCGAAGCAAACGAGTGCATATATCAATATCACCGAGTAGATTAAAATGATATTCTGAAAAAAATCATAGGATGTTCTTATTATCCTACACTTAGTGTACTAATAATAATAATAATGCATTTTATCCTACACTTACAAGGAGTGTACTAAATGTGTATAATATCATTGCAAAATGAATTCCATGCCAAATAGAGTCAATTTGGCGAGAAATCAACAAGCGGAGTATATCGTAACAATATCCTTCGCATATTGGGTTTTCCGGAGTATATCGTCACGATATCCTCCGCCCGGAGTATATCGTTACGATATCCTCCGGATATTCATTTTGCCAATAAATATCAAATTTATTTTTTAATGTTATTATACATTTAGTACACTAAGTGTAGGATAAAATGCATTATTAAACAATGTAGCAGTAGATCTTCAAATTCAAGAATTGAGCTAAATTGTAAGATAATAGATAAATTGCTAATCCCTTATAACTGTATAATCCCTTTCTCTGAATCATACTAAATTATAATATTTCGGTATGCTTATTTTAGCTGCTGTAGTTTAGGTCGTTTGATGAGATATTCAGTAACATGCTGTCACTAGAGACAAAACTTGACACTAAATAATCACTCAAAATAAACGATATGAATTCTTCATATTTTCTTCTTTTGTAATACATCCATTCTTGAAAATTAGCATTCAAAGCTTTTCAATGCAATCATGAATTTAGAGATCTGACCCTTAAAATACTTTTCAGGGGAAATAGTTTGTCCACCTGTAGCCCTTAGGTGTAGCATCTTTTTCTAGCCATATTTTCCTAGGCCTGCTGGAATACCTGTTTCAGTGTGCAAGTTTAGCATTGTTTTCCCATTGATCATTTGAGTTCTCATGTCAATAACATATGGAAATAAAAATGAAAGAGTAGTTTATTTTTTTGTAAAATTTAAAAATAAAACAAGGTTTGGTCAGGAAGGGAACAGGTGAAATCCTTGGGATATATGAATTAATTAATTATATGTTAGAAACATAACATATTTATGTTTCTACAATTTAGGGTAACTCTGTGTATTATTCTACTGTGCATGGTTATACCAGTGCAAAATATTACAAAATGTTATTTACTTATTATCATAATTCAATGTGACAACATCAGTCTTATCTTCAAAGGACGATTCTCGGTTTGGAGAACGAAGTTCATCAATCTAAATGAGCATTATCCCTGCTTCGGACAAATTTGATTTTTTTTACATAATATAGATTTGAATGTCTTCTTTTGAATAGTTCTAATTTAATTTGGGTAATATTTCTAGATTTTTCACAAAAAAATATTAGCGCAGTACACTGATGAACTTCTTTCCGCAAATCGAGACTTGTATTTTATTGAATCAGTCAAATTGAGCATTATCCCTGCTTCAGACCAATTTGTTATTTTTACATCTTGTAGATTTAAATGTCCTCTTTTGAATATTCATAGTTTAATTTGGGTAATATTTCTATATTTTTCATGAAATTTTTTTAGCCCAGGAGGCTGTTCTCCAAACCGAGAATCGTCCTTTGTATATAATAGTTTGCCTGTAAGGTTGGGCAAGCTGTCTATTACGTTGATAAAGATGTTGATTTTGCAAAGCTCTTATGGGCTATATCTACAATATATGTAAGGGTGTCAGTACGTAGTCCAGTATGTAGTAAACAAAGGAGTATTTTGGTCAACTCAATACATCTGCTAAACACTATATGAAGTGTTTTCTATGCAATGATTATATACAGGCTGCTTATTCATTGTTACTGCGAATTTCAAAAGCTTCCAGATTGTGTAGAATAGAGCATGCAATGTTTTTTTCAGTTTTCAAGCAGGTTTTAGTACATTCTGACCAATTGTATTTTCAGACTTATTCATTTCATGATTATGTAATAATGACCTACTTATCTGTTTAACATATCTTTAATCAGGCTCTGATACGATTGCCAAGCTCCGTTGTGCATTTTCGAGATCGCCTTTATCTGACGCTTTTTATCAAATGGCTGTATAAAGATGCAGTAGATCCATAAAACCATTGCATCTTTGACTCAAGAAGACGATGGCAGAACAACAAGATCCAGAAATTCCAGATGGACCAGATCATGACCTATCTGAAGAAGACATGATGTTTGTCGCACGGTGTGAAAGAGCGTGAGAGAGCGTGAGGAAGCTAGTCAAGCGTAACAAAGCTTAACAAAGCGTTTCAATCCTTGATTAAAGCGTCTCAATTCGTTAAAAAGCTTGAGAGTCCTTCATGAAAGCGTAACAAAGACTGTCAGATATTGATGAAAGCGTCTGACCTCGTGTCAGATCTTCATGCCAGATCGTAGCAAAGCTTGAGACATCTAAACAAAGCGTAGAAAGTGGTAACAGACCGTGAAGAGATTGGGGTCCCCGCATTGAACCTAGCTCTGTTAAGCTTTCCTACGCTTTGGGTCAAGCTTTGCTGAGCTTTGTTAAGCTTTGATACGCTCTCGGCGCTTTAATCAATTCGTAACGGAGCGCCAACATTTTTTAAACAGTTTAAAAGATTTTGGCGCTCTTGCCGAACATCCCGTTTTACTCCGAGATTTTTTACGACCTATTACGACCCCGACGCTTTAATCAAGCTTTGTTATGCTCTGGTGCCGCTTTACAAGTCGCTTTAAAGCGCCATGCTTTGGTGCCGCTCTGCTCGCCGATTTAAAGCGTGGCATTCGCCGTTGGTGTGAACGTAGCTTTACAAAACATACTCAACGTGGGCACTTCTCCTATGCACAAATGAATCCTACGAACAAAGTTGTTAATGACAATGACCTATACACATCAATGTGGATTGAATGAATTGGGGTTGTTATTGCCCTCTTAAGATTGTTAGGGGCCTGTCAGTATACACATTGGCTCCGATATATGAAAATCTTGGGGATTTAGATCTGGCGAATGAGCTGCCCATATGTATTGCGTTCTTCAACTGATCTGATGAGCTGACCACCAAAGCATTGCTTTAACCATTTCAGCATATCATTTGCAGTGTTCGGGTGGTGTTGGCTTGTTGAAACCACTGCCTATCTTCTTAGATGCCCCTTCTTGTGTTTAGTGACCTCCAAATGCTATGAGAACTTGAATATGCTGGTCCTTGTTCATGGTGATAGCACATCCCTAGTCATCTTTGAACCAAAAAGGACTGACGATTCGATGTTCGCTCATTACCACCCAGGCAGTGCATTGTTCAGAATGCAATGGATTCTTTAACACTTCATTATGAGGATGTAAGCACAAGTAGCAATTGTTCTTGGAATAAAATTGTCCATTCAAAAAGGAATGTGTGTAGGAGAATCATCAACACATTTGTTCGCAGGATTGAAATGTGTATAGAGAGTGGAGGTGCACAGTTGGGGTATGTTTTGTAAGGAACTGTAGTTTTTGACACAATTAACAGATAATCATCAAACTTTCACAACAAAATTTACATTGAATGAATTAAATAATTCTGTAATTTCAAGGCAAAATTGACCGAATTATTCAACTTTCTTATGGTCCTGTTTTATTAGGACACCCTGTAGTTATGAAAAATGCGTTTATAAGTGATGTCCACTGTCGCTGTCTCTTTAGTCAAGATATATAGTCCATGGTATGAAATCTCTAGGACGTTTAATAAAGGAGTTGGTACACTCCCCTCCATAGGTTTGGCAACCTTTTTCCCCAGTGAACTACGTGTTAAAGCCTCTTTACGTTGGAATTTTTATTTACTAAACCGGCGATGAAATAACTATTGATGGAAACGTAACTTGACTTTATTTCCAATACCTCCAAATTTTCTCAATTTTTTCCTCAATTACAATAGGTCGAAAATTGATGATAAATTTGATGAATTTTTGAAAATCGTTATTCCCATGTAATCCAATGGGAAATGGAGGGTTCGGGGCAAATCAGAAATCAGGATATCTTTTCAGTAAAAGATTCAGCAAAAAGTATTTTTATATAAAAAATTGAATTGTCTAACTTTTTTGAACACTAAGTGTTTAGTTTATTTGATGAATATTAAAGTTACAGCGCTTCAAAGTCAATTTTGAAAATGATTTTTCGCCTCCTGTGTTATTTCAATGGGAGAGGTTTTTTGAAAAAGAATTTTGACCTTAAAGCCCTATAACTTTGTTGAACCTGAAGAAACATATAATTTTTTTGTTAAATAAAGTTAGCAAATTCAATTGCCTGTGCCTAACTCGTATTTTTGCAAGGACTCGGATGAATGGATATTCTGTCATATGACTTGCGACAAACATACCATTTCCCATTGGTTAACATGGGAATGTTGATTTTCAAAAATTCATCATCAATTTTCGACCTATTGTAATTGAGGAAAAAATTGAAAAAATGTGGAGGTATTGGAATTAAAGTCAAATTACGTTCAATCAATAGTATAAGTATTTTCATCGCAGGTTAAGTAAATAAAAATTCAAAGGTAAAGGGGCTTTACCACGTAGTTCAATGGGGGAAAAAAGGTTGCCAAACGTATGGAGGGGAGTGTAGCACACTATAGCGCAGCGATATTTGACCTTACATTAACAAACCTACATATGTCCCCTAATACTTTTTATTATAACCGTTCAATTTACTTCCGGCTTTTATGCTGAATTATGCCTGCCATTACCAGAGGTCAAAAATCACCAAAAAATAAAATCCCAATTTTTCACAATTTGGAGTACACAATGCAACAGAAAATAATACAAAATGATTTTAAATATATGATTAAGGTTTCTAAGCTATGAGTTTGAGGTTATTTTTCTTATCAATACTAAAAAATATGTAATCAGTGTATCGACGTTTTGTATTGTTTCCCAGGTATTAATAATATAAATGCTACAAATGAATCACGTTTATATTGGAATGACATATGTTTAAATTATGCTCGTTTTTCACAAAAGGCGTCTCAATACGTTTTGAGATATGGACTTTTATTCAGCGGTGAAAATGATCAATAAAGGCGGGCCTATTGCTCTTCCTTGACTAATTGGGACTACAGCTAGAATTCTATTTCCTGTAGTTAGATATAGCTCAGTTGCTTATAAAACAACCATCAAGACTTGATCGAATTCATGAATAATTGAGAAAAACCGTTATCATTATCTTCCTAAAATTTGATTGTATCCAGCGGTAAGGTCAAAGAACAAACAGCCATCAGAAAACTTGATGATAGCCACAAGTAACGTCGAGGAAGAATTTCGAGGCGTTCGATTGCATGTAACTCTAATTGATTATTAGACATGTCCTTGGAATATATGAACATTCCAAACCTCTGTGACATTTAATCAGATATAAATCTTATCTATTTGTTATTGTATTATATTTTGTAAAACATGAACAATAATTTGTTGTTAGACCCCTTGCGATTATATGGAAAAATTCTGGTAATAAAATGTTTTAAATGCTAAGAAAAATAATATGTTCTCAATCATAAATTACCTAAATATTCCACATAATTTTGTTGAATCGGCTTGGCTCATATTTGAAAAATCAAACAAAATCTGAAAAACACACTTGAATAATTACACTAATTAAACATCGACATCTACGGTAAAATTAAATAGTATATTTTTAAATAATGATAATCTATTTTTGTTCGTATGCTTAGAATAACGGTCTGTGTCTTTTAAAATGTATAAAAGCTCGAATCAAAATATTTACGTTTGTTGACCCCTTGTGATGAAAGACATTTTTCGACCCGAAAGGCGGAAGTTTTTTCAGCAAATGGTATTTTAAAAGAATCAATACACGTACACCTTAATAAATATTGCTTCAAATGTTGCAGCGCTATAGTGTGCCACGGATGCTTCATATTCGGAAGTCATACCATGGACTAATACCTTTATATACAAAGAAAACAGATTTTAAAACCATGCATCTTTTTCAAAAATAATATGGCTGTCATTTTTTTACTTTTGATTTTCTTAGAATTCACCTTATATTATTAGCCTTATTTCGGAGACTGGACTTGATAATCTTGCTTTCAAATATGTCCAGAAGCATAGTTGGCATTTCTCAAGTAACAAGTGTAAACTGTTTTAAACACGTTTACATATAAAAAATGGATGGTCAAACTTGCCGGTTTACTGCTAGTCCAGTTATACACCAAAATGCACAGTCGCAAGCTATGAAACAAACTGTTCCAAGAAATTCACATAATCTTACTCTATGGTGGAAGAAGACCTCTCCTTGAACAACACCTACAAAAATAGATTTATGCTACCGACCGATACCAAATGTTATTTGTTTGGCCATTTGGTAAGAAAATTTGTACAAGTCTTGTTTTTTTATTGTACTGTACACTATGATACAATGGAATAGACTGTTGAGGCGAAACTGGGTCATGTTCCAAGAATGAGGCGCATGTCTAGAGAAAATGAAAATAATCTTTTATTCTAGATTAGTCATTGTCCATTACATTTTTTGTATTTGTTTAATATTATTAGTGCAATACAGGATATATTCTTCTCGAGAAATTCCGATTTTTGATATTGGAGATTTGAAAGCGAATTCGGGAAATGTAATTAAAATGACAAAATCAAGTGGGTGATGCCCAAAACATGTTATCTGTCGTAATATAAATCCGGGGTTGGCAGGTATGTAAGTGTATGATTTCAGTTACTTGAAAATTTACCTGCTATACTAAACGGCAGCACACATCCAGCCACTAAAATATCAGCAGCAGCCAATGAAACAATGAACATATTTTCAGGAACTCGTAGGACCTAAAATCAAAACAAACAGAAAATGTAACCAGTTGAATTTCACAAAAAAATAATTCCAGTTAAAAGAGGACTCCAAGATTATTCATCACAAATACAATAAATTAAGTGATATATGTGTTACACACGACAATTAAAAATGTTGGACTAATAATCGTCATCATATTTTTTTTCTGGCGTAACATTATTATAAAGACACGTATTTTTGGAGGTCACAGGTGGTCACTAGCATGCTTTCGGTGACCACAGGGGGAAACTAAGATGGATTTTTGGGTACTGGGGGCCACAGTGTTACATTTGGGGATCACTGGGGGCAACTACTAAATGCTTGTAAGGGCGATTTGGAGCCACTGGGATGCTTTGGGGGTCACAGGGGGCCGCTAGGATGATTTAATGGGACACGGGAGGCATTGAGGATGCTTTCCCAGGGTCACGGGGATGCTTCTCGGCACCACTTGGGGCCACTGGGATGTTTTTTCAGGGGCCACGGGGGGACACTGGGATCCTTTTGGGGCCACTTCGGGCCATTAGGATGCTTGTTGGGGCCATTTGGGGCCACTTATCTTCTTGTAAACAATGGTCCCATGACGTCATTAGATTGAATTGATTTTCGGTGAATGCCTGTATAGACTGATATGATTCCGTCAATCTTTGTTCTTTCAGCTGTTACATTATAACTAATTTGTGTTTAACCTAAATATACAGTACTTAACATATAGTCTTCCTTTTCAGTAATGCATTAAACCAGTCCATAAGCAAATGTATGAACCATCAGTACCTATAGGATATCAGGCCCTCTCGTAGCTACCCTCAATACATTTGCCTTCTCTTATTCCATCTTGGAATACTTAGCAAACCCTATTGGAGTCATCATATGCAATATGTCTTAATCATGAATGGATATAACTTGTGTAATACCATGAATACTGTTTTCCCATTCTTTATCATGTATTCAATCAATGTTTTCTGCTCCAACTTTATTATTCCGAGCCATATTCTCCAACATTTCCTGAATTCATGAGAACTTTGATAACGTCACAAAATCAGGTAATTTGTTCAAGATGTTTGAAGAGTATGTCTATGGTCATTCTTTGACATAACCAAAGAAAACAAGATGGGAAATATTGAGATACGATTCACATTTTCCATGAGAACAATACTAGAAATTGTTTAAATCTAAATTGACAGTTTATGAAAGTTAATTTAGCATGCTCAGTAACATTGATCTTTATGTGCTACTAGTTATCTTTTACAAAATGATATGGACCATAGCGTCATCACCGTGGTTACTATAGCAACCGTAAAATGTTGTAGTAGGCCTATATACATGACACTTTGACAGTGTAAGGGAATAAGATATGGCACATACATACCAACTATGAACAAGATTGGTCCATTCTTCCCACAATTAGTTTGTTAAAACGTTTTGAACAACCCTTGTAGTATGGTCAATTGAGTCAAAGGCTTTCAAAAAATCGCTTTTATATAATAGACATCTTCATTTGCATATATAATGTTTTCCCCAAGGTTGCCATTTGTCCAACCCAGCTAAATTACTTCATAAAACCCTTATGATAGTGATTCCACAATAAAACATCGTGTTTTTACAGATTTAAAGGTTCAGAAAATGACACATCGACTATTCATATTTTATAAAAAAGAACATACTTTTGTAAATGAGTCTATACAACACGTTGAACATGTCTCAATAGCGCCAACACATAGAGGTTCACGTTGTGACCTGAAGTTGTTTGTAATTAGACATGTAGCTTACTAATATGAAATGTTAAGAGAATAAGTTTGCTGACAATTACATACTTGTATTCCTCGCTGCCTGGAATGTTATCTGGCTCACCCGGGTTGTAATTTTACCCACCATACCCTGTACCAACCAGGATAAAAAGTTGCTATACGCAGGAAAACCCCAAAAACGAGATTTTTTAAGAACCCGGAGAAAATTGAGCTGACTGACGAAAGAGCAAATTTTTTACAGCAAGGAAAATATCAAAACGGAGTAAAAAACCGGAAAAATCATGCCAGTGGTGTAGCTAGGTCAACATGTTCGCCAAGTACGCACAGGCTTAATTTTAAGATTTTAAGAAAAATAAAACTTCCAAGATCTGTGATGAAAAATAAATATTCCACAAAAATGTAAAAAATATATCAGGTCAAGATCGAAAATCGACTCGCACGCTTGGTAAAAAACAGAAGAGGAAAACCGTAATATTTTACGTAATTTTAAAACCTGTCTAACGATATGATAGGGAGGTATGAGGATTAAGTAAATTATTTGCCACGGTTAGGCTACTATTGACTTTTAACTCAACATTTTATAAATATAAAACAAACAAGAATTGGAAATAATTCGCCAATATAAGATCTTCAATTTGAATATGATCTCTTCAAATATGAACGTACGATATCTCATGCATAGAAGTACCAAATGGATGATCTGATAATGTACCTCATATTAAAAAAATAAGCCCCAGTGATCGCACCAAATGGTAATGATCACCCGGGAATCTTCCTGGGAAAATCCCTAATTTTCCAGATTATTTTATTGTTAATGTTCAACTTGGTAAAAACAGGAAATCTGACGAGTGTACAGTGAAAATTAATTAGGACTTGCTACGTCTCTGGTGACTCGACGGTGGATGCTTCGCTATTTTCAGAAGATGTATCCTTTCTGTTTAAACCCGGTTACTTTTCTCGTTTTTCCAAGTAATTTTTCGTATTGTATTCGATACAGGGTGATCACTAAGTTCTTAGAATTTATCTGTCATTTCATTATTTTTCAACCAATTTACTTGAAATTTTCAAGGTAAATGGGGAATGTAATATTCGCGGTTGGATAAAACAGTCTCATTGTCATCTGATATCACAATGGATAATTGTTGGTACTATAGTAACATGACAAATGTACCAGTAGCATGTCAAGTAATATAAAAATGAATTCAAATTTTGCTTGATCCAAAAGTATGGTTAATAAATACCTATTTGGTAGATATATTTCTGTGATTTTTCATCTATTCAAATACTTCAAGAGTGTACTTTGCTCTATTTTCGTATCATTCATCAGCATCTCAAAGTCACAATCATGACTCAAAATAGCGGGGAGTTATCTCCCATTATGATTATGCTCCTTCCCATTTCTGAAGCTGCCCATAGTACTCTTGAAGAATTAGGGTTCACACAAGTTATTACTGTCCCATATTCACCAGACAATATTCACCATATGAAGCACCATTAGGCTTCACTACATTTTGGGTGCTAAAGCATTATATGAGAGGTCATAAGTTTGATTCCGATAAGGGACTGATTTCAACAGCTTGAGCAAATCTTCAGGGGATACCAAAGGGAGGACTGGAATACATCTTTATGGACTAAGTTTGTCAACCACGCATGTGCGTCCAGGCTAATGGAAACAGTTATAAATGAAATGATCCTCTCAGCAATGAAGGATACTTCTGAATAAATGACTTCAAGAGTACTGTTTGAAGTAGCCGTCTAGGCAAGATGAATATGTTTTGGCAGGAAATCTTCAGATTAACGTCAAAATTTGCTGACCCGCGGACCACTAAAAAATTACTTTTTTGTAATTTCACAGACTTGCCAACCTCCCGTTTTTTTACGGGAATCTCCCGTAAATTTTTTGTTTTTCCGTAAAAAATACCAAACTCCCGTACCGTTTTCTCCCGTAAAAACTCCCGTAAACTCCCGTACCCTATTTCTACTAAAATCTCCCGTACTTTTTTTTAAAAATATGGCCGTAAAATCTCCCGTATTTTTGCTAAAATCTCCCGTAAAATCTCCCGTATTCTGGTATAACTCCCGTAAAATCTCCCGTATTCTTGATATAACTCCCGTAAAATCTACCGTTTTCTGGTATAACTCCCGTAAAATCTCCCGTATTCTTCGTATAACTCCCGTAAAATCTCCGTTTTTTGCTGTCGAAATCTACCGTATTTAAAAGGAATTTGACAAATTTGTGACCTTGATTATTGCAGGCACGCTTCTTTCTTTTACTCCAAGAAGGTTTGGCTCCCATGGTTCATTATCGATACTTTCATAAATAACTTAAAAGTACTTCATTCCCATGATTCAAATTGTTTTTCTGCGATCAGTTCGGTATAAGTTTGCACACCAAATGTCCACAAACGGGGGCCAGTTCATATTCTGTCATACTTCTGTCGGGAGAATACATTTTGTTTTTATATGGCGCTAAACAAAATATTCCCGCAATATAAGGCGCATTATGGGTAGGTACTGCTGTGAAATAATGAACGTAAGTGACATCTATCTTAGATTATAAGTTCTAATTAATTTATTAACTGCGCATGCGTCACAATAATTTCAACCAATTAAATCTACCGTAAAAACTCACGTTTTTTCAAAATCTACCGTAAAAACACCCGTTTTTTCAGAAACCTACCGTAAAAACTCCCGTTTTTTCAAAATCTACCGTAAAAACTCCCGTTTTTTCAGATATCTACCGTAAAAACACCCGTTTTTTCATAAATCTACCGTAAAAACTCCAGTCTTCTTTAAAATCTACCGTAAAAACTCCAGTCTTCTTTAAAATCTACCGCGAAAACTCCCGTGTTTTCAAAACCTACCGTAAAAACTCCCTTTTTTCTGAAATCTTCCGTAAAAAGTCACGTTTTTTAAAATTTACCGCGAAAAATACCTTTTTTTTAAATCTCCCGTAAAAACTCCTGTTTTTTCAAAATTTTCCGCAAAAACTCCCGTTTTTTTTAAATCTCCTGTAAAAACTACCGTTTTTTTTCAAAAATCTCCTGTAAAAACTCCCACTTTTTCTCAAAAAACTCCCGCAAAAACTTCCGGATTTTGAAAAAAACTCCCGTAAAAGTACCGCAATTTTTTTTAAATCTCCCGAAAATCTTTCATTTTAGGTTGGCAAGTCTGTTTCAATTAAATAAATTGTAGATGTGATATGTATATGAAACATTGCTTGTCAATTCAGAATTATACAATGTACATTTGCTGAAAATTTCAACTCGGTTGAGAAATCTTAAAATGGCAGACCAATTCCCAGAACTTAATGATCACCCTGTATGAGGTAAAATTATTTGCTAGTTATTCAGGAAGTAAATTATGTCAACTATTATCCTCAAGTATTATTCATTATCACTTAATTATTTTAAAGATGATTTCATGCTTACCTTCTCTCGTGCAACTGAAATTATTGCAAGAAGGTTTCCAAATACTCCCAATACTGAAAATGTTACTGCAAAAAATATGAAAACTGCAAACTTTCCGGGGGATTGTTCCACATAAGGAGGGTAAGTCCATTGAAAACTCTGATCAGACTCGTTTGTTGTATTGATTCCGACAGAGGTCACTAGATGGAATTCCATATTCCCTTATTGTTAATTTTCTCAATTCCAAATCTCAGATGTTACAATTTAAAGCTTAACTCGTTTTTGTTTCAAGTATGAATTACGATGCGCAGTTCGTTTAATTTACAAGAAAAAACTACAAAACACAGCAAAAAAACTATAATTTTTTTGTTGATAGGTATTGAACCATTAAATGTGATTAATGCTACATGTGCATTTTTAAAGTTCCGCATTCAGACGGGTTGCAAAGGTCTACAAAACAAAACTCATTTTAATATGTACGCTTAAAGGCCCACTATGCTTACTTTAGAAGGAAAAGAGATAAAATAATCATTAAAACAGGTTATTTACACGCTCAATCAAATATGATGCAAACCTTGATTTGCATTAATATCGAACGATAAAGAAATAACTCACATAGAAAACAGCATTTGGAGTTAAAAGATTCTTAGTTAGATGCACGCCCAAATTTGACAAAGTGCATATTTTAAATAGCTCTTGAATTAAAAGATGGCGACAAAAATGAATGAATATTGTGATACAAACAACTTCGCCATCTTTCATTGTTTCCTCAAGTTCCTGGTCATTTCTAGTCATTTCAACCCCAAGTCAACTCAACCCCAGTAAAACTCAAACCAAGTCAACTCAACCCCTGTAAAACTCAACCCCTATATTCTTTAGCACGTACAGAATATTCCATGTAATATAAACGTTTGTTGAACAATTTTTTTCATAATTTTGTGTCAATTTTTTATTTTAATGCTAAGACCTGCCTTGAATAATAATATTGAGTGTGATCTCCAAAGCTCCAAACTGTCAACAAAGTCCTAATGGATTAATATGTGGGACTAACAGAATTAGAAAGGATACCCAAGGGGTTATTTTAGGGACTTAAGAGTGATTTAATCGTATTCCACATGTCATTTATTTTGATTGAATAACTGAGTTTGTTTTGTTGTAATGCCTTTCATGTTGACACTATTGATCATGATTTTGTTAATACATTACATTGTAAAAAACATTGTTATTTGCCAACATTGTAGTTTCCTGTAATTTGATTTTAAAAGATGTTTAAATGTCTGTCAAATATCGTTTAAAATATGCAAGATGCTAGATCATTGAAATAAATGAACTCTGTAGAGAACCAAATGCATTGCAGAAATGGGACGAGTTTTACAGGGTTGAGTTGACTTGGGGCTTAGTTTTACTGGGTTGAGTTGACTCGGGGTTGAGATGACCTGTCACCCTTTCATTGACATGAGTGTTTTGTAATGTCTAATGAAAGATGAAGTACTTATCAATCCATTGAATATACTACATAAAGTTCAAAAGTAAGTCTTTATTTTGCCAAAAATGTTGAAAATTAACATAGTGAGGCTTATTTCTAAAATTGTAATTTATTTTGATTGAAAACTATTTGTCCAATCTAGTTATTTTGGACAACGTTTTTCTCTTTTATATTTCAGCTGACCTCAGATTAAACGTTGTGATATTTTATATCTAATGATATAAAAACTTCCAATACACTAGCGCATTCGGTACTAACAATATTTAATATGTTTTACTGTAAAAAAGTACTGTTCATAGTTCATACACATACATCACGCCAAGCTATGTGGTTGATCGAAGCATCCTATAGCTCCCATATTCACGCCCGGTGATCGTATATGAGATCTATTAAGAAAGGCGCATCATCACCAACGTGCAAAAGTCAATGTTTTTGCTATAAATCGGGCAACAATGGTCTACACGACCTGTAATAAATAGGTATAAGGGACGTTTTTATCACAATACTAATGACATTGCTCACTTTTTAAAGCTAGTTTCTAAGCGTAATACAAAAAATACACTCTGGACATGATAAGACATCCAACTTGAATTTATTCTTATGACTCTAAATTTTCCCATTTTTCATTCTCCAGAGATATAATATCCAGTTTCTTACTGGGGTACTGACTTTTTTTGAAAAATAAACGAGTTCTTGTGAATTTGCTCCATCGTAAAGACATACATGTATAAATCCCCCTCCATCCGATATTAATTTATTACGATTATTTTTTTGTATAACGCTTAGAAACTGACTTTAAAAAGTGAGCAATGTCATTAGTAAGCTATTGTGATAATAACGTCCCTTATACCTATTTATTACAGGTCGTGTACACCATTGTTGCCCGATTAATAGCAAAAACATTGACTTGCACGTTGGTGATGATGCGTCTTTCTTAATAGATCTCATGTCTTAGAAGGATATCAGTCAAAAAAATACTAGATGCCCTAACATATTTTGCCATGCACTGCGTCTATTCATTTGGCAATTCAGTTGTAAATTTTCTCTTGAAAAAAATAAATCTTCCAAAGGATAGGTATCGATATGGAGAACTGAATTCAACAATGTTTTTCTCTTAAACCAATCATTGAAAACATTCTGTAAAAAAACATGGTATTTTATGTAATGTTGACTGATTGACAACAATTTATTGCGAAAATTATTTAGAAATATTTTATATAACTGTTTTTGTTAACATTTTTTGTTTTTTTTAGTGCAATTGTTTTTGCTCCTTTCAACCAATTCTTGAGAATGAAATAAAATGTCTTTCCGAACCTTGTTGGAACAAAATAGCATGTTTTTAGACCTCTCAATATTAAAGTTATACAAAGGATTTTTGGTTGATTTTAAAAAGGTATTCAAAAAATTAAAACAAAATCCCCCCAAAATAGATAAAAATCAAGAAAAACCTTTTATTTCATTAACAAGATACTTTTTTAAAATCAACCAAAATTTCCTTTGTAAGCCTACAATTACAATATTGAGAGACCTAAACATATTGTGTTTATGTCATTTTGTTCCAATGAGGTTCGGAAAGATGTTCCATTTCACTCTGGAAACATGATACCAAGAACAAAACAAGTGTTTGTTGTGTTTTTTAAAACAATATAGATGAACGTATGTATATCTATTTCAAATTATATTGTTACTATTCAGAAGATGGCCATTAAATTGACAATTTGTAAGATTTTCAGAAATTTTTGATGACTGGTAAACGTGTGTTCAAAAAGTTCGCCATATCGATACCCATTCTTTGTGCAGTTTTCTTGCAGAAAAATCGCCTGTCCCCCACCCCCATATCCCTGTGTTAAAGAAACCTAGCAAGCCGAAATTTGATACCTTTTTAATATTTTAATAAATTGCTTCTAGCACAAGATAACTTCGAACATGCGTTCAGGCCAAAACAGCTTGTCTTGTTCATTTATATAATAGGCTATGCGAGATGTAAATCCCGGGGACCGATAAACAGAATCTGTTCTGTTTCGTGTGGTGCTAATAAACCGGAAGTCAACAAAAGTTGTAAATTCTTTTGAACTTTGGACTAAAATCATTACTGTTCATTATCTAAAGGACTAGCGTACCAAATATTCTGTAGATAGAAAGGTTGAAATGGCAGCTACATTGACACTGCTTCTTTGGAGCTGCCTGATCGCTCCGGTTTTCTACATTTTGTGGACCGTCGTGAAATTTTGGCAGGATGTGAAAAAGAGAGGGAAGGCTGTGATGCAGTTCCCGGGAGAGCCGCCACACTGGCTCTGGGGCCATTTACATTTGGTAAGATAACAATTTATATTGTAACATTTATAAAACAATTAAAGTCGAGTCAAGTTCAATCTTAATTTCTTGTAAAGAGATTATATCTTTTACATGTACATCCTGTACATCATTTTTGGAGTGAAGAGGATTGCTAAGCTTAAAGGCTTGTTTGATTTGATTCATTTGATTGGTTCAGTCTTAATTTGCTGTCACTCGTCAGGTATTTGTGTTTTTTTTTATAAATAAAACCTAATCTCAAGGAGCTTAGTTTTTGACATTGAATAAAGTATAGAAATACAAAGTTCATTTAGAAATGACTAGATGTATGGATTCGCAGATAAATTCTGAACCATATACAGGGCTGTCGAAAAATTTGGTACGAAAAATTTCCAATGAACATGCGTGACACATACGGGATTCGCGTGACAAATCCGAACAAATTGCGTTCGGTTTTTTCCGGCGTTCGTATTTTTACCGTATCGTAAACATATTTCGAAAAAATTTCTACAGAAACATTTTTGCTTGACAATTACCAGGTAAAATGCGTATTTTGCGTGACATTTTCTGTCACGCAAAAAAAACTGGCGTGACTTCAAATTCTTCAGCAAATGCGTGACAAATACGCAAATTGCGGGACAGTTGACAGGCCTGCATATACAGTGTGTACAAATGTCACATTAATTATGAGTGATGGCATGTCATTGTAGCCAGTAATGCTCATCTGTTTGTGTATATTTTTTTGTTTTGTGAGAAGTTTTTCAAGTACATTTGCACTTACAATTTGACATACGTGTAGATTGATTTACATGAATGTGAGGATTCTCAAGATTTTTTCGAGGGTACAACATATTAACTAACTGATTTTAAGATAATTCGGTTTGTTCAGAAATTTTGAAGACTTCCTCATAGCTAAGTTTACACCAACAGCCCTTTGATGGCACTTTAATGGGACGTGCAAAGTGGCTTTGCACGCCGCGTTAAGTTGCCGTTGGTGTGAACTTTGCTTTATTGGAGTCCCAAGGAGGAATGCCTCCCAGAGTGCAACATACATATTTTTGCCATATATGGACATGTCGTGATTATAAAATACAAATTCAAACAGCCGCCATTTTGTTCACTTCAAGATTTAAATCGTGAATTTTGGTCTTATTTCTGAACGAAAAATTCCAAAACTCACAAGAAATGATCATTGATATCGGTTTCGAATCTTTTAGACTGTTTATTTGAATTTATAGTCGGTTTTGATTTCAGAAAATAACGACATTTCAGTATTTTCATTGTTGGAAAATATGGAACCTGGGAGCCAATCCTCCCACATTTCAGTGACCTATTTTTTAAATTAATTACAAAAATGTAGGTAACTGAATTTTCTCCTTTTTGGATATATTTAGAATATTTATTTACCCTTACTAATAATCAAAGTATATTTTTTGCACTATTTGTTCAAAACCCACATAATAGAATTAGTTATGTATACCTGAAAATAACATTAACTTCAATAAAGAAGCAATTAACATTTCTGAACATGCAGAAGTACCAATAACCATTTTTTATTGCCACTTTTTTGCCAACTGCATAAGTATATGATGTGTGATGTTTAACATCATGTTAATTCAATTTGGTTTGAACATTTTAAAACCTAATTTTTTACTTAGATCGAAATTGCCCAAATGTTGTGACTGTGTATTGTTGCTCCATACATTCTAGAGTTTAAAGATGGTAGGTATTTTTGATCATGCACAAATGTAATGGTTTTTCATACAATATGAATTGTCCAGTTCCCAGGCCCCAATGAGGAAGGTATTACATTCATCCTCTGTAATGTTATCCAGGAATTTTGGCATTTGGTCATTTGCTATACCTGAAATATCCTTAAACTTTTGACACCAAATATTACGAGAGTACATATAGACACTGATAAAGTTGTGTATTTTGAAGTAGATACATGTGCTAGTCATCTTCATTATTTGGCAATGTCTTTATAGTAAATTGAACATACTTTGGATGACAGGAAGAATAGAGAGAGAGTAACATGTTGGATACCCTTTGCATTCAGTTGACTAATCCTTCTTAAAAGAGAGCTTCGTCTTCAGTAGGGTACATGTTGGAAGCAATTATTTCATCAAGTATCCAGATGCTTACTATTGATGGAGGGAATTATGTGACCAATTTAGATGAAGTTATTGAAGCTTTTAGAAGCAGGAAATTCCAAATTCATTTAATTGAAAATCAAAGTATTGTCATGAAATAAATAGTTGAACTATTTTGAAAATAGGCATGGCACATAATGTTCTGACTCTGAGCAAAACATATATTGTAAAATTGTGACATTATTGTCAACTCGTCTTAAGTGTTTATTGCACCTTTGATTGATATTTATTTTCTTTCACAGGTTTCATTATTTGATGTTGCCAATTAACAAGCTAAGTTGTTGTTTTTATGTCGCCACCAAAAGTGGTGACATTTTGTAATATTCTGCAATTTTTTATTTAGTGTTTGGTGGTTGGTGTTTGGAATTTGGCGGTTGGTATCTGTAACAAATGGCAGGTGGTGACATTTTACATGTTACTATCTTTTGTCTCAATTATACATACTATATGAAGTTGTATTTTATTTTGCCACTTCTTTATTGGTTACTTCATTGTTTGTGATTTATTTATTCAGCTTTATGTGACAATTTGTTGTTTTCAAATTATGCACCCAGCTGTACTACACAAACTTGTATTTTATTTTGCCATTTATTTATTGGTTAATTTTTATTTGCAATTTTGTTTATACAGTTTCCTGGGCCTGATGAGGCTGGGATGACATTCTTGCGCTATGTCATGTGGGATATGTCACAGGCCAACTCAATATGGTTTGGTTCATATTACCCAGTCATAGCATTTAGTCACCCTAACTACCTTAAACACATTTTGAAGACCTCAGGTACTAAAATGCAAAATTGTAATCCCAAATATCTTACACAACACCTTACATTCAATATAGCACATTTTGAAAACCCTCAAGTACGAAACTTACCTTGAAATAAAACATAGAAGTAAACCCCAAGTAGAAGTAGTCTGTAACCTTTTAGTGAATAAAATGCAGTAGTAAACCCTGGGTATTAAAACTGGCCTTGAATGAAAAACCATTGTAGATTGTAAGATTGACTCCTTTACCCAAGCACAGGCAATATTTAAGTTGATAGTGCTTATGCCTAGCTCACACAAGCCCCGAATCATTGTATGGGTGCTGGCCAATTAATATTTTTCAACATCGGCTGGACATTGTACAGGCATAAATGAAAATCTTCTCTACCCTGAATGATTGCCCAGTGAAAATATTTTCCACCTAAATGAATTGCCCTGTCGGAAATCCTCTCTACCCTAAATGATTTGCCCTGGTGATAATCTTTCTACCCTGAATGATTTGCCCTGTTGGAAATCTTCTCAGCCCTGAATGATTTGTCCCTGTGAAAATCTTTTCCACCTAAATAATTTGCCCTGTCGGAAATCCTCTCTACCCTAAATGATATGCCCTGGTGAAAATCTTCTCTATCCTGATTAATTTACCCTCATGAAATAAGAAGGCCCATACTCAAACTAGACAAATGAAAACAAATAATTGTAGAGATTTTAAAGTAGAAGTTCCTTGTCATCAACCCTCTCCTCTCGATCATATTATCTTACATTACAATGGTGATTACACTTTGAGTACATGGGCTCACAGAACATGGCACATTGCGACTTGCTTTAATATCATAGACTCACTAAATGAGGAATAATGGGACTAATGTTTTAGTACCCTGGGCAAACTGAACAAGGCAGATTGTGACTTTTATTTTAGTACCCTGGGAACACTTGACCTTGTTTTCCATATCATGATTTCTGTCCCCCTGAACCCCGTGTACCCTGAACACATTGAACTAAGGTTGATTATGGCTTCTGTTTTAGTACCCTGGACCCAATGAACTAGGCCTAAGTATACAAAGAGTTGGTGTGAAAGGATCACCTTTAGCAAGATACACTTGGATTGGACCATTCCATCCAGTTATATTCTTTTTCCATCCTTCAACTATTAAAAGGATTCTGAAGACCTCAGGTGAATAAAATGTGTGGCAGATCCACATGGTACTGTAGTTTTCAGATATGCTTGGCATTTACAATTATCTGTTATAGGTTACACTCTGGCTTTAGTTAGGCAATCTCCCAAGCAATTCAATGAATTTGATTGACCATATTATATCTCCTTCCTTCTATATTGCAGTCTCATTTCCAAGACTTTTGAGCTAGTTCTGTTGTTTTGTTATTCCAGATCTTGCCATGTGAGATTTAAAAATGAATAAAGACTCGATAATAATTATTTTTATACTAACTAACAATAGTTCAGTTTCCTTCTTAATAAAGGGAGATAAGGGGCTGATATTAGATACAAGGAGCTCTTGGATACCTTCATGTATAGTACTGCTCCAATTGATGGTGCACTAAAACCGTGGTATTACACAGTTCTTAGGCCTTGGTTGACTTAGTTTGAAAACTGTGGTTTTTTTTTCATGGAATTATAATTCTGATTTAATTGCCATTCATGATTAGTATGCAAAATCTGTAAAGGGACATATAAAATGAATACTGTCCAAGTGAGTGAAGACTTTTTGCATAATTGACGCTCCAAAGTCATGCCTTAAATGGTGTACCTTTTGTGGGAAAAAGTAAAACCAATACACATATGAGAAACATGTGTGTAAAAAAAAGAAATTTACTGACAAGTTAGAATGAACACATGTTATGTAATTTATTATAATATAGTGCGACAAAAACAGAAAAAATGGAACCGATATAGAACTCAAAAGGGAAACCCTCTGAACCAAACCAGAAAAAATTGAAACTGTTGGAGCTCCAATGTATTGTACATATACAGAATGCAAGAAGGCCATCAGTTATACCAACCCTCAAATTATAAGGCATAATGCTTTTTGCCACACATTTGATTATTTTTTTTGCGAGCTCTTCATAATGGACACACCTGATTTATTTTAT